CCCCAAAACCCCAAAACCCCAAAACCCCAAAACCCCAAAACCCCTTTAACAAAATTAATTATAGAATCAATCAGTTAAAATAATTAGATTATAAATGGAAGACAACGAGGGCTATAATAATTATGACGAGCAGGAGGAATCCCCTGGTGCTTATCCCCAGGATGAATTATACCAGAACCAAGATGATGCCGACCTCGGATACAATGAGGATCACAAGTACCTTTCCTCGAAAGAAGCCAGAAAGAAAGCAGAAGAGGATTCTAAGTTATTAGCAAACAGAATCGCCCTCCTCAAGCTCGAAGAGAGGAAGGCCTGGAAATAAGATCGACGAAACCAAGAAGAAAGCCAAACAGATTATTGATCAGAGAAAGAGGAACCAAAAAGTTGCTCTCGAGCGAGACCAAAGAAAGCGCCAGAAAGAGAAGGAACGCGAAAAGCTCCAGCAGCGCAACAAGCAGATTAAGGAGCAGCTCCAGTCGAATATCAAAGCCAAAAGGGCCCAACATGAAACAGATGTACAAGAAGACGTCAAGCATTTCAGAAGAGAGAAGGAAGACCAAAAGGAAATGCTCGAGTACCAGAGGAGAGAAGAGCAACTCAGGAACACCACCAGGAAGCAGCTCATCAGGAACACCCAGAGGGAGGCCCAGGAAAAGAAGGTGCAGGCTCTTGAAGACAAGAAGCTGCAGGCCAAGAGGGCCCTCATGGACAAGATCATTAAGGAGAATGAGAAGAGGCTTGAAAAAGAAGCCAGAGTAGCCAGGCTTGAGCAGGAAGAACTCGAACTCATCCAAAGTTTGCAGAACACTCAGCTATTGCAGAAGGCTGCCTACGAGGAACTTGAGAATGCTCTTGATGCAGGTGATGAGGATGTTAATTAAGCATACTCTCCTTTGTTCCAAGTATTTAAAGCAAAGAGACCACCACCATCATATGTTCAATATTGATGTCAATAAAAGGGGTTTTGGGGTTTTGGGGTTTTGGGGTTTTGGGGTTTTGGGGTTTTGGGG